TATTAATCTTATCAATTATTCAAATCTAAATATAGATTAAGATGCCATATATTTATTTAAAATAAAGTCCATTAGAGTAAAGCTTCTCAGGTTCTACTGCCTTTCCCTTGCCAACATCTTCAAATTCCACAGAATTTTATTATTCGGCTTTTCTTGTTATTAAAAATAGGTCAAGTTCAGATGCTCTGGTTTTTTATTATTTTTTATTTTTAAGTATCTGAGAATTTTAATTCATACTACATATTGCATAAACATATTTATTCATTGCATTCTGAATAAATTTTTTTCTTTTTTTTATAACCTTTTTCCCGGAGCAGTTTGTTTAATAGTAATTGTCATTCTAACTGCCAACAAACTCATATTTATATGACTTAAGATAAACACGCGCCTAAGGAATTGCCCCAGCAGAAGTGTTGTGTGGACCCTTCAACACTACACCACACAGGAGTAAAAGAAATAAAGATAGTAACGGTGGATCACCGTTACTATCATATCATTAGGATGAGGATATAGCTAACTCTCCTATCATTTCTGAAAAAGCTAGGAATTGGGAACCAGGATATATGCACTGGTACAAAAAGATTCTCTTCCTGTGGTTCCTAAAAGACAGACCATTTTTTTCCCTTAGATTTCGTCATACCCGACTTCAGTGTTACAGCAGTATGTTCTCTAACACTGCTATAATCCAACTAAACCTGCACCCCACCTTCAAAAGATGACCCTTCCGGGATGATTTTTAATGGTTCTCCATGAAGAGTGAGGCAGCTGTGCATATTTTTCCCTACTAATGTAAAAACAATGCTCATTCCTAATGAATTCTCCAGAATGTGAATGCTTTCCTTCATGTAACTGAGGCTTCTGGGATTCAGATCAACCAACCCAACACAGAAGGAAGATTGAGGTGGTGGCAGGAGGGAAAGAAGATGAGCATCTCTTAGCGTGGACTCTCTATGGCCGTTTCTGTCACACAAAGCCCTTCATCAACCATGTATCACCTCCCCAACTCCTTGCCTTCCTGACAGCTCTGTTTCTTCACCTTCACCTTTTCCTCTTCCATCCCTGGTTACTGCTTGTCAGGGCATCAGGGATGAAAATCCTCTTCCAGGCGACACAAGTGCACTGAGTCTCCATCATCTGCCTGTAACTCCTACCACTCTGATGTGATTCTGAGAAACAGGCTTTTCCCAGTTCTCCTCTCTAACTGCTCCAGCTGACTTTTTGTTGGTTTGGCTCCAGGGGGGACATCTTGGTACTGTAGCTACAGAGAAAAGACATGGATATTCTTAGAAACCAGAATTCTGTCCTATAAGAATGCCTAGCAGTATATGGAATACCTAAGTTTATGGAGAAAGTCCCCTTTGTTAAAGTGGGTAAGAAAATGGCAAAGAACTAGTTTTCCCATTTCTAAACCTCAAGTGTATCCACTAGAAAGATATTGTTTTGCCTCAGATTTACATCAGCCTAAAGTTTCACCCAATGTTCAGAAATCCAGAAGAAATAATAACAAATCATTTCATTGAATTCAAAAGGATTTTTCCCTTTGATGTACTACATTTTCTCTTATTTTCACAAATCCCTGGGAGCAGAGCAAGACAGCCCTACTCAACTTGACAGAACTTCACTAAAGTGATGGTGAATCCATTTGATTTTATTTAGAATCATCTAAAAGGTGGCAGAGCTAGGTGATTTTTGTTGATTCGAAGGCTTATAAATATTCTATTGCAATCTTTTGCAAAAGAGGCATACTCGTCAATTATAAGATAGTGACTTTTTTTTTGATTGTGCTGATTGAGGCATTTATGAAAAATTAGCAAAATAGTCTTTTTTTAACAAACAAGTTTTTTCCTAATTACTTAATTTTCCCCTAATTAATTTTAAGATGCTGAGAAACAGCAGCAGTGAACACAACGTATTTATGCAAAAACATAGTTTATTTGACCAAAGGTCAGAAGACAGTGGTTCTAAGTACCAGTTACACTAGGAACACCTGAGTGGCCTTGAGCACTCACCATATCTCCTCTCTGCCCCTGGATTGGGAGGGGTGATGTCTGAGATACCTTTAGCTCTACTATTTTGTGGTCCAATCACTAGAAAAGGATTTTGCAGAATACAGTCTCTGCAATTTGTGACCACAGAGCAAATCTCTGCTTACTTTTGGATCCCTCCTCCCATTTCTCCTCTCATCTAAAAAGGGAAAGTCTACCAAAAGGTTCAGAAGAGAAGACCAGTGCGAGCAGCTGGTTCCCTAAGTCTGCTTCCAGTACGAGGATCCTATTCTACCCAAGGTGCATCCCAACAGACCCTGAGAAGGCCAGGTGTACCATCAATTTCCCCAGTGCCACAGCCACAGGGGTTCACAGGCAAGGGC